CTTATTCTTCACAACAACAACGTTTCTTACCTTTCTATGATGCTATCAATTTGGCCCGAAGCGACATACCCCTTGATTAGTTTAGACAAAAAAGAGGTGTAGATTGAACCTTTGGAGAGATAAAAAGCGTAAAACACGTCGGAGAAGTCGTCCGATTTCATGAGGCAGTAGTAGATATTCTGGTAGTTTGCCTGGTCCGTGGTCGTTATGAATACATACTTGCCCTAAAAGGATGAAGAAAAGAGGATGCAAACGAAATAATTTAATGAAATTCCGATAAATTCATCTTTTTTTAACAGGTTACTGCTTAAATGACCAGCGAACTTAAAGTTTTTATAAAGTAATATTATACTACATTAATGGCCTGCTTGGTCTCTTTGTCTCCATCTCTCTGCATATTTCTGAATGTATTTATGTCACTGTTTATCTGTCTATATGCCTATATGTATCTCTATAGCTCTATCTTTCTGTTTCTATGTTTCTTTTTATTCCGGAGGCTGAATATGTGGTATCAACGCTCACCTTCCAAGAATCATCGCACAAACCTGTTATTAAAAGACCACATTTGGTCGACAACATCACTGCAAACACTCCGGTTCCAGATACCGTTTGTCCCTCCGTCTGGTCCATTTCTGTCAACAACAAGCGTACAAATGCCGGCCAACCATGTCCACAATTTGAGGCCTATACAACTTTAGCATCGTCTTCTGGACCCGTTTAGTTTCCCTTTAAACCTCTGGAACAAGTGGTTCTGAGAGGCGATTCATCCAATTGCAGTTGAATCAGTGCAACCGTGAAAGCGATGCCTCGAGACCAGTCTTGATGGAGTCGTTCGTCAGGATTCGACCAGCACACCGAACTAAGATCAAGGGTGTCAGGTCGGTCGAACGCCCACTCAGCCGACAGACGTTGTTAAGATGCAACTAGAGCTGGAGGTAAACCGGTTCGTTGCCCTACGGAACGACCAGAAGCTGGACAAATTTGGCAAACTTCAAGAGGCCAGTTAAGCAAAATCTGACCGAGGCTGGAGACAGCGACTGTTCGCTGAGTGGGCGGCCGACCGGCCTGGCGCATGTGATCGGTGATCTGTGACCTGATCTCGATATAATCTCTAAATCCTGACGCCCAGCTCCGTGCACAACTAAATCATGACTGGTCTCAAACAGTCTTTTCAATTTCGCAATTTACAGATCACAGATCACAGATCCCAGGTTGGTCGGCCACCCACTCAGCAAACAGTCAACGTGGTTTGGAGTGAAACCGGCTTGTCAACTGACGGGAAAATCAGGATCTTGTCAGATCTGGCCACCTCAATGAGGTTGGTGGAGTAAAACCTGACAGAAGGTGACATCGTCGACTGTTGGCTGAGTGGGCGGCTAACTGACCTGGGATCTACGTACGCGTTACGTCCTGACGACCGTCTTTGTGCACAGTTCAGTCATGACCGGTCTCGAGCAGTCGTTTAAATGGTACAAGTGTGATGTGTGATCTGTGTAATATGATCTATGATCCGTAATCTGTCACCTATAATTTGTGATATATGATTTGCGATCTGTAACTTGGGCCATTGAAAGAACTGCTCGAGACCGGTCATGACTGAACTGTGCACAAAGACGGTCGTCAGGACGTAACGCGTACGTAGATCTCAGGTCAGTTAGCCGCCCACTCAGCCAGCAGTCGGCGATGTCATCTTCTGTCAGGCTTTACTTCACCAACCTCATTAAGATGGCCAGATTCGGCAAGATCCTGATTGTCCCGTCAGTTGACGACCCC